ATCAATGAAATTGAATGATTTGAGAAACAATAGAGTAAAAAATTTTAAAAGATCAATAAAATTGACAAACTTCTAGACACATAGACCAAGAAAAAAAACACAAATTACGAATATCAAGAGTGACATTGCCAATAACGGGATATCACTGCACACCCCACTAACAGTGCAAGGAGTAAAAGAAAAGTCTACCAACTGCATACTAATAATTCTGAAGCCTCGGGTGAAATGAATCAAGTCTTCGATAGATACAAACCACCAAATCTTGTTCAACAGAAACAGTCTGAATAATCAGATCTTTATGAAAGAAATGTAATCTGTAGCTCAATTCCCTCCCCAAACAAAACAAAGCTCCGGGCTCATATGGCTTGCTTTGTGACTCCAGCCAAGTGTTTAGGGTAGAGATTACATCAGTTTCAAGTAACTTCACAAAAACCTCCCAACTCCCTTTATGAGGCTAGCCTTGTACTGACATTAAAACCACGGAAATACTGCCAGGAAAGAAACTGCAGACCACTGTACTTATAAACCCCATACCAAAAGTCCTTAACAAAGCAAAAGTCATTTCCAGTGACATCCAGAATAGAGATATAGCATGACCAAGTGGAACTTACTCCAAAAATATAAATCTGCTGATTTATAAAAATCAAACAATATGATCTCCACTTCTGTTGGGGAACTTCACAGCATAGATGATAACTGGACAGGGGGCCACAGGACAGGTACCAAGGAACTTCCACCAGTGATGGCTTATGTTAGACAGCTGATCATCTTCCTACTCTTCACTAGAAAAACACTTGGTGGCGGGGAGCTGTGCATGTTTCCTGTATGTATTCGTTACTTCTCTCCTCCTTGTTGTGAGTGAGACAGAAGCAATTTCAATGAGGAAGGGTGTCTTTGGCTCACAGTCTAAGAAGCAAGAGGACTGGCATGGTAGCAGGAACATGAGGCCACTAGTCACAGTGAATCTGAGCTGACAGGAAATGGAGCGCTGGGATAAAACTCAAGGTCCATCTCCAAGAGCTTACTTCCTCCAGTGAGATTCTGCCTCCTCCAGGTTTCAAAATCTTCTAAACTAGAATCTCCAGTTTGGAGAACAATGACTCAAACACATGAACCTTCAGGGCACAGTTCACATGAACCTACAGCCCAGGGTGATCTCACAGACTGCATTGGCGGCCTTTTCATATTGTTGTTGGGACATACTCACTCAATAAATTCATAGGAGATACCCGTGCAGAACTGGACAGGGCTGTGGGTGTGATGCTGGCTGGAGACACAACAATGCCTCCCACAGCCTGCTGGGAAAGATCCAGTCTCAGGCCTCAATTCAAATCAACAGAACCAACACCAGCTCAGAGAAGGACAAGCAAAAAATAATATTTTTTGAAGAAATAAGTCAACACAGAAGCTTTCTTTAGTAGATGATGTACTTAGCAAACAAGTACAAATATGGGTCTATCTGATGTCCCCTTTCTTTCTAACGTGTCACTGAGACCTGGGGACTGAGTGTTCCTCTCTTGACAAAAGACCACCAGTCCAGGATTTGATGGGTCTGTTACAACACACCCCACACCCCAGTACAGAGACACAGACTTGGCAGGTACAACAAGCCTGCCAAGCATCCTGACTCACCAACCAAATGGTATTCCAAGGATACCCAAGGACATGGCTGGAGCTGCAGCCACCTGGGAAGCTAACTGAGAGCCAGGAGACTGCCCAGACCCAAGCTGCGTCTGTGGGGTTGGGGATGGGAAGGTCATCCCGATCTCAGCACTGCCCTTGCCTCTGCATGTCTTTAGTGACTAGTTTTAGTTCCCCTAAAGCCCACTGGAACCCCAAATTCCTTTCTCTCAGATACAGACTTAAAAGAATGAAAAGTGAAGCATCTTCTTTTTTTAGGAATGTGGGAAAATTAAATGAGCCTAAGAGCAGTCGGAGTTACAAAGCTGGTAATATATCTTTGATAACGGTTAAAACATCTTATACTCCCTTCCTTTTATAGATGAAGAGCTATTTAGATTCTCCTCTAAGGTCAAAGAGGGAAATGGGTCTGGAGCCTCCAAATAATTTCAACACTCAGACCAGTTCAAGTGAAATCCTACAAATCTAATCTTAACCATGTAGAGGCCACATGTGCCCATTGTCAACTCAAGTTAGTCCTCAGTAGCCTGCCCTCCTGGGAACCCTGACCATCTCAGTTAGGTCTTCAGCCCAGGACACCCTGAATATCCTGGACACGGTACACACCTTCGTTCCCCACTCATCCTGTGCTGGCTCACAGGAGGGAATATATTCAACTTTTCAAGCTGTGCCCTGTCACATGGTCTCTGGTAAAAACATTTTGGTAACTAGTTCAGTTTGTGTAGAAGGAGAGACTGGTTCAGTGAAGCTCTTGGCAGCACTCCACATTTGATGCTGGATTGGCTGATCCTGAAATCAATAAAGAAGGATACAGTCCCTGAACAGTTGTCGTCATCTTATCTGCCTTCCCTAATTAAGTTAATTCCACATTTTTTTTGTTGTCTTCAAACCTCTTACACACTAACTCTTTCTCTCTGGCAGTTTACTCATGGTAAACCTCACTCCAAAAAATAAGAGCCCTCTTGTGGCCAGGATGGTACCTTATTTGTCCTTGGATGCCCAGATCCCAGTATTGTGTATGTCGCCTACACTCAATAAATGTTGAAGGAATGGGAAAAGTCCCACTACATTAATGAAAGGATCCCCCAGTGAAAGGAGCCATCTAAACACTTCTCCTGAGGACATGGGCCTCGTGTTTCCCCGTGGTACTGTAAATGGAGGATGCTGCCTGAATAGTTCCACAGGAGAAGTTGGCCTCCTTCTGAGCTTTCCCCTTAAAGGCAGACCACTGCCAAGGATGCTAATGCCATTTCCCTGGGCACACCATGGAGGAATCCAGGCTTTATTACTCTAAGGTGTTTGCTTCATGTAGCAACTTACTTTTTAACGAGCTTGTTTATCTCACCGTCTTGGATATTAATATTGTTGGGAGGATAGCCTGCTGATTGACTGTTACCAAGAAAAGAGGAAAGCTCTCAGGGAGAGCATCAGATACATGCTGTTTGCTAACAGTTATTCAATAGCTAAGATTTCCTTTTCTTGGAAAAAAATAGGAATGAAACAAAAATGAGCAATAGAAAAATGGTAAAAGTTGGGGAGTTGCTAACATTGCCACTTCTAAGCTTCTATCTGGGGCCTGCTGGTCTGTAAGCTGACTTCTGGGACATCAACTTTAGGGGGCAAAGACAATTCTAGTTTAGTATATAAGGTAGGTTTAATGTCGACTATTCCATCTTTATCGGTGTTTCCTTCTCTGTTTTGCTTTCACAGAAGCAGTCTGTTTATTGAAATTTGGCACTTACTTATAGGATGGCTCTGGCTCATTGCTCTGTATTTGCTGACTGCCACCTCTTCTCTGCTGTATGCTGTGACCACAGGCTGGTCCCATTGTCAACCCAGTCTAGGTGCCCTCCCCCCCCCCGTCTCCTAACTGAACCTGCCCCTCCCCCAATCCTACTCCACTTCAGAGACAAGTCCCTTCACAGGAGCCGCATCACCAGGGTGGGGTCACAGGAGTGGCATGCTTCTAGGGCAGCTAGAAGCTGCCAGGGTTCCTTCCTCTGAGCTGCCCCTCACTGAGTTCTGACAATACCGTCTTTCTCCCTTGCCTCTAGCGTCCTTGAGGTGACAACTGCCTCTCTCTATGGCTAAACTCTGGATGCCTCCATATGCCTTGCCTGTGGCTTCAACTTTGACCACACTTCAGTAGTCTTTCTCAGCTCACATTTCTTAATTTGCACTGCCTATGGTGAATACTCATAGAACCACTATCAAATCGGAGGGGGCACACAGTCGTTGTTTCTCATTCCCTGGTCCTCTGTAGTGCTCTTCCACAGCTTACTACATTCTTCCAGTCTCATCATTATGTTTGGTCCCCACCGCAATCAAGTTGTTACCCACAATGAGTTTGAGCCTTGGGCAGCAGATCAGTACCCATCCCAAGTATACACACGGACTTTGGACTCCCATAGAACAATGTGAGGTGCACTCTCACCCTGAACTCTTGGGGAAGGGTCTAGGCCCTGTCCTATATGAAATGACAGACTATGCACACCCCCATGGAGGGCCTCACCCTCCCTGGGGGAACAAGGGGATAACGGGGGGGGGGGGCCACGGGAGGAGGGGAGGGAATGGGAGAGGGACCTGGAACTGACTTGTGAAGCAACCTCGTTTCTTATCTAAATTTAAACTGGAAAATAAAATATAAAAAAAAATTTCAAAACCCTGCCAAAAAAAAAAAAAGAAAAGTGTGACTCTGAAGCTAAGCCACTTATCCAAAGGTATAAGGCATCTAATTGCTTTTTCCAAAGGAAAAATAAATTCATACAAAATAACACAAACATACTCTGAAACAAGAAAATTTAAATTCTTTGTAGGAAGGTGAGAAAAGAGTGGAACAAAGGAAAAGAACAGGGTAGCGACCTCAGAGAGCAGCAGGGGTCATTTTCCCATGACAGTAGTCTAGGAGAGACAGCATGCTATCTATAGGTGCAATAGTCTAGAGGAACTGTCTCAGAGTGAGATGCGCATTTGTCCTGCTATGTCATTGAAACAGCACGGCACCCAGAGGGTGGTAAGGGAGATTGGAGAGAAAGGAAAGAAGGTGGTCAGCCATCTCAAAGATGCAGGAAGTGAATCTCTGCATTTAGAAGAACATAGTTGGATGACATGGCCAGATTAAGGCTGTCTTTCAAGGTCTGTGTCAAAAACTATTGAAGATGTCAGAAAGTTTCATTTGCAAACACCCCCCTGTCTTTTAGTAGTGGCTCTCAGCTTCTCTGGCGCAAATGGACCATTTGTTTGAATCTCACGGCAATTCTGCTAGCTGTTTACCACAGGGAATGAGAGAAGAAGTCAGGAATGCTTGCGAAGGAGTGACTACAGTGTTAGAACGAGGACTCCAGATGAACAGGAATGGCAACAAGTATAACTGAGGGTGGGCAGGGAACTGGAGGGAGCAGTGGATGCTGCTCTTAAGGAAGTAAAAGGCAATTCCTAAGTAAGTTATCTGAGAGGGTTGGACTCTGTGCCTGGAGTTGAAATCTTGGATGGCCTTGCTATCCCCAATATCTTGTTCTTGTTTTTGTCCTCAGCATTTAGTGCAATGTTTGACATAAAGCCAGCAGCACCAGATGATGCATGAAGAGGGAAGATTTCCAGACTTGGAGGAAGCTCGGACGCAGACTGGGAAAGGTATTTTGTCTCTGCTCTCCATGTATTTTGATCTTTCCTTCTCACCATTCCCTGTATTTCTACATCCTCTCTCTCTCTCTCTCTCTCTCTCTCTCTCTCTCTCTCTCTCTCTCTCTCTCTCTCTCTCTCTCTATCTGTCCATCTGTCTGTCTCTCTGTCTCTGTCTCTGTCTCTCTCTCTCTATCTGTCCGTCTGTCTGTCTCTCTGTCTCTGTCTCTGTCTCTCTGCTCAAGCAGCTCCCCATTTCCTGGAATACTGTTTCTCTTTCTTTATTCTGGTTCCATGATAAAACTTTTCTGATGAATCTTAGCCAAAAGAGAAGTCATCTTCTCTCCAGCCACAGTGTGCTGATGGTGCCACAGCTGTAGCTCATTCTTCATTTTGTATTAATGACTGCTATTAGCTGTCTTTGCTTGACCTTAAGCTGTAGGGAGGGAGTTTTAGTTTTCCAGTATGATTCGGTTTTGTCGATTCTACACTGTCTACCACATAGCAGAAACTCCATAAATCTTTGTTGAATAAATATATAATGTGGCTAAATGGAGTTCTACAAATGAGATGCACTGCCTAATCAAATGATAAACCAACCCAGTTAAACGTAGGATGAAGGAAACAATAGAACTAATGAACAGTGAGCTTTCTCTTGAATACATAGAATCAAAGTCAGTTCTTATATTTAGCAACAGAGGTGGGAACAGAAATTACTGTCTCAAAAAAATCAGTCTATTAGGTTAGCATTTACATAATGACAGAATCAAAGCAGCCTGGCTCTATGCTTCTGTACATTTTTTTCTCAAGTGGCTTTGAAATCTCCTGCCACAACTAAGCTGGCAATGTTTGCTTAATATATTAAAATTAATAATGATGGCAGACAATAACAGCAGCTAACATTTAGACATTTGTTAGTTGTTAGTTATTTTGTGCAATAGTGACACAGTTGATTCCCGTAATGCTGTGGGGTTATGCAGGTTTCTATAAACAAAACAAACAAAAAAGCCACAAAGAGGTGATGTTATTTATCTAAAGTTATGTAACTAATAAACAGCCAAACTAAAACCTCAGTTCCAAATTATATAAATCCAAATAACTGCATTCAAAAGATTTTTGATTTTGATGTTTAAAGAAACCCTGCATTTATGTGGTACATAGGTATACATGAAGGAAAAACACTCATACACACAAAATAACAGAATAAAACATTTATTTTGGCCATTAGACAGCCTTTAATTGGAGTATTTTCTCTTGTGGCTTCTTAGGCAGATGGACATTCAATGTTAGCACTATTGGTGTCATCTGTGATGTCATGACAGTGGACGTGATACAGACTGCAGTACACAGGATCTCAATAGTTTCAAAAAGGTGTCTAGCTAAAGGCTGGGGGCACATGCTGGGCAGCATTGACAATATCATGCAAAGTGATATTTCCACTGAGTTTAGTGTTCTGCTTCTTTTTGTCTCTCAGTGACTCCTTGAGGGCTTGATAATCAGGGTACAGGCAGAAGGTACCACCTCATCTGGGCCTGTCTGTTCTGATTGGTCAGTTTCACTGGTAATCCTCTGTCATTTGCAGTCACTGGTTGCCTTTACAATGCCATCACCAGCTTTTTTGAGAGGCAGACCCAAGGGACCTATCTTGAGAGACAAGGTAGATGTGTTGGTGACCTTGCTTCTCCTGAACCTTTGGTACAAGGCACCTAGGTTGTAAGAGTGTCTGTTCCCATTTACACACATGGGTGCTGAGGCCCAAGGATGAGTTGCCATGGCCTCAAGCCTACTCTAGAAGAGCGAAGACTCCACCCAAAGTCAGGCCACAGAAGGTATGCATCTACTTAGATCTCACTGGGGTCAAACATGAGAAAAACCAGGGTTGAAGGCTGGTGGCAGATGACCGTGACTCAGAACAACCAAAGAAAGTCTCACATAGTCTCCTCTGAGTCAAAAGACAAAACGTAAAAATAAAACAAGTAAAACTATTCTGTCCACTTGTTTTTTTCCATTTCTGTGGATGGCAGTTCTTATCACCAAAATTCACAAGCCAAAAATATTGAAATCAGGCTTAGTTCCCATTTCCTCCTACTTCCTTTGCCTCTATATTCATAGCATGCAGGAACAGAGTAGTGGTTCTGTGTCTGCTGCTACCATCTTGGCATGAGTCACTATCATAGTCTGTCTGCATCACTACAAAAAATGTTTTAAGCGAGCCTTGTCACTCCACCATCTATGTAACAGCCTGGCTGCTACTACTGAAATGTCACTCATACCCTGTCATGGCTCAACTCCACATCCTCAGGAAAATGCCATCTCTTCCAGAATAAATGCCAGCCATTCTGAGGTCCTGTCATGCTCCCTTTGGGCATGCCTCCTTCACTCACGCCCAGTTAGCACCCTTGGCCCTGGCCTTGGGTACTTACAGTCTGTCCACTGACTCTTCTCTCTACCTGTCACTTATCCCTCTCCTCCTTTTCTGTTTTGCTCAACTGTGACCTCCCCAGGGACACCTAGTGTCACACTGCTATAAATTGCTGTATCTGTTCACTTTCCCATTCATAACTCAAAAAAAAATCTGCTTATCTTTCCTTATTTGGTTTTCTTCACAGCACACATTAGCTTCTAACATACCACATATATTCTATGGGTTTCAGTTTTTACTATCCTTTCCATTAAAAAATGTAAGCTTTCGCCGGGCGTTGGTGGTGGACGCCTTTAATCCTAGCGCTTGGGAGGCAGAGGCAGGCGGATCTCTGGAGTTTGAGGCCAGGATAGACCGACAGCCTCCAAAACAGAGAAACCCTGTCTCGTAAAAACAAAAAAAAAAGTGTAAGCTTTCATATTTTTTATCTATTTTACTAGTGTGGTCCAAGCATTTAGAAGTACTGTCTGAAACATAGTGAGTTCTCAGCAGACAGAGCTGTAGAGAGAGATGGAAGTAGGAGGAAGATTATTTGGGAAGAAAGGGGTCAACAGACATATGAGGGAACAATGGGTGTGTGAAGATAATAATAGTGTGTTGAATACATGTGTGAAACTGCCAAAAAAATTTAAGCATTAGAAAAAATTAAATGAAAAAGTCTTTCCCTGGTCTCAGTAACTTATTCACATCTAGGTCAACTACAATCCATAAAACAACATCAACCATCAGATTAAGTTAATGCCCATTTGAATTTGAATTCCACTTTGGTTTAATTTATAATTTACTTTATATAATTTAATTTATTTTTGTTTCTATAATTGTATGGGAATTCATGACCACAATGGTTTTTTAAATGTGATTTCATCTTATTAATAATTTCAGTTTAAACAAACACACAAATAACCTCAGTGAGTCCTAGGGAAATTTTCTTCCATTGTAGAAGACTCAGTGTGACTTTAGAAATAGGGCATATCTTGACGATTTAGGGCTGTAAGTAGGAGAATGCCCTTAACCTCTCACCTGTGCAGATGTGAGGCAAATTAGACTCCTTGGTAATTCTGTCTTAGGTTGGCCAAGCTTATTACCACTCTCATCTCCTGCAGCTCAATGATTTATATCATTAGTCCCCAAACATAATTATGTGCTCACCCTATGCCAAGCCATGACCTAAGAACAGGGCATGCAAACAGGAATATCTCCAAGTGTCTGCTGCCCATGCAGTCCTCAACATGAATGCATTCTGTAGTTCACAAAGTGCTTTGATGTATGCTGACCCTCTGTGGCAAGAATAACCCACAGGGATGCTGACACTTGGAGGGACTGACTGACTTGCTCAAGGTCATGTGTCTTACAATGTCAAAACCCAGGAGTCTTAATTGTTAGCCCTTTGCTCTTTTAATAGTACCCTTTTCCTTCTACAACCACAGTGCTTTTGGCTCCATTCCAAACCCCCTATTGACCTCCCTACTTTCTGCCAGGATTCCTGGTTCCTTCTTACTTCTGAGTGGGAGGATCACAAAACAAGAACAGTGTCTTTGTACTTGGCAAGCTCCATCCTTTCCCACTTAGGTGTGTGTACATAGGATCAAACATGAAGCCTATAGTACAGTAGTAGCCAGGGCCACTGCTAACGTAATCGCAAGTACAGATCTGTGTTCATAGATCAGGCAAATACAGACACGCTAACCATGCTAATGTGCTCGGGAAAGCCAGCTTATGGATCAGGAAGGATGAATATTGTGTCTGTTCGGCTTTTAATAGCATCACCTGGCAGATGGGACCAAGACTGCATTCTTGCTGCACTATCAAATTCACGGTACGCTCTATGTTAAAAATGCCATCTGTCCATCTGGTCACATAGTGTCACACAGCACCCTCAGGACATCCCACCAGTTTGGATTCTTCCTAGCCTTGGCTACTGCCAAACCTGGACTGCAGGAAACACTTACTTATGAGTACCAGGAAACCTTATTTTATTTTAACTTAGTGTTGTATGTCTACAGCCTTGAGCAGGCAGCTGAAACCTTCCCCTGCTTCTACAGTGTAAACTGTTCAAAATGTCCGTGTGGATTGTTCACCCCTTGCTGCCTCTGTACATCTGTTAAAAAGAGCTAAAAATCAACACTTCGAGGACATCAGCTTTGAATGGATTTTTCTCCTAAATAATGCTTTGTATCAAAATAGTGCATCTCTTCAGAGCTTTCAAGGACAAGTTGCTATCTTCCTCTTCACTTGCTAGATGAGAAAATGGATGAGGAAGGAAGTGAGAGCTTTGCTGACAAGGCTCTATATTAGGAGCAGACTTTCCCAAGAATGATGGTCCAGGAAAAGCTCCATCAGAAGTCTAACCCTGAGGACAGAGACCACAGGGGATGGAGTAATGCAATATTATCCAGTATCTGAGCAGTGTTAGCCCACACGGAGCAAGTGCCTGATTAAAAAGAGTATCATCACAGTCACCATCTGTTGTGGTTAGATGTGGCTCTGGTGTGTCCCCCACAGGCTTGAAGGTTGGAAGTTGGGTCCTCACTGGAAGAAGGGGATATGGTGGGAACTAGGGAGGTCATCAATTTACTAGGGAAGATGTACT